ATAGTATTCATTAGCGTGTTTGACATTGCACACTGCGAACCCAAAGTTTCCCCACACAACTGATATAAAGAAGCAGGCAGGTCTTCTAGCTCCTTTGTCTCACCTTGCTACATCATTCTTCTTCTACTTATGTTTTGTTGGATCTGTTTTTTCTTGATGGTTTGCTCTTTAATGGCAATTAGCAATCAGTTATGCCACCTGGATTGGGGAGTGCCATGGGTGAATGCCTTTTTTTCCACTCAGACGTATTTGTTGTGTCAATCAACCAATCTTTATTTGTATAGCATCAATTCATAACAAGTGTTATTTCAAGACACTTTACTACAGGTAAAATACCTTACTCTTTGTTATTTAATATTACAAAAGACCATACTCATTGTTATGTTACAAAAAGCAGGTAAAAGACCTTACTTATTGCTATATTACAAAGACCTAGCTTAATCCATCATGAGCGTAGCACTTTAGCAACATTTAGCAAAAGTTACAGTGGCAAGAAAAAAACGTCCTTTCAACAGGCAGAAATCTTGGGCAAATCCAGGCTTATGACAAAACAGCCATCTACCGAAACTGCGCCGGGTTTGAAAATGGGAGATGGAATAAGATGCAGGAAGAGGGATAGGGAACAAGGGGGGGAGGGGCGGTGATTCAGGCAGACCGTCCACCAACGATCCAGAGGAACCTAAGAGAGCTCAGGAGCTCCCAGGAAAAGATGTGGCTAATGAGATTTACAGATAGCGTCATTACTGCAACCACCTAACCATGACATCTGAACAGAATACAAACAACCTAAACACCCGTAATCACTCACAGTGAACTGTTATACTCTAGCCAATAGTTTTGTGTAGCATGTACCATGCAGTGAACACATTAGACATTCCATTGGAAAGATAACCTCTGTCACAGTTGGCCACTTCTTATCAATGTTCACTGATATATGATTTTTAAGCCTCTCATTAATAAATACACTACTTCCTGTTCAGACTAAATCGAAAGTCTGTTTAAAGTCTGAAAATCCACAAGGAGTAAGCACACAAAAGGCTTTCATTACACCGATTACATTTTTGTATGTAAGGGTTATTTTTTAATTCTACATGCACTCAAATGTATGTTAATTTTACATGGATTCTAAGAAATAATATTATTGTAGTTGCTGTAGTAATTGCAATATGTGCTTTCATTCTTTGAAAACAGACCATAGTCCATGGACCAACAGTCCATATTGGTTCCCATTTGCCTTGTCAGTGTTAATGTGGCCATCTGGTTCTTAGTGATTACCTGTCTAAAGGAGACCAGACTCCGGCTTTAGGAGGCAATGTCTTCCCGTTTAGGGTCCATTTACATTGTTACGACCTGGTATTTTTAGACTTAGTGTGTAATGTATGCTTTTGAAGATGACTGAATGAAAAGCAGCGACCATCTGAAGACTGGACTTCAGTCAGTGACATATGCCTACTGCCACTAAGCTTCAAAGGCAGATGATTTTGAGTGTGTCGCAGGAGGAGCAGGAGCTTTCCTTGTGTCTTCGTTTTGAAGTCTTAATTTGTTATTTAATTTGTGTTCTGCTTTGTTGTAATACCTGTGAAATGATAATTGCATTGCCTTTTCTTTTCCACCTTGCTTTGATGTAAGTGTGTCTCTGGACTCATCAAGACATTATTTTCTTGCAGTGTAATTTCATTAATTATTTCAAGTCAATGTGGCAGATATATGAGGCAACAGATCACCTGTTAAGATAGTCAGGAGCTCGCTAATGGGAAATTCAGAGTAAAATAACGACCAAACATGGATTTAAATTTGACTTTCTTCCCCAGTCAACTATAATTTTAAGATCATTTCTGATCTGCTAGATCCAAATTGTTCTCAGATAACCCCTCTTCATATTTTAATACTTGGTTTAATTGCTCAGTGTTGATAGCAAATCAGGAAACATAGCAAAGCAGAACCCAGTTTCATCAGTCTGCCTGTTTTCCTCTCAGTGCATCAGAAAATAACTCCAAAGGGCGCTGACATGGCTTCTGAACTTGAATCCAGAGATCAACATACTGATCAATACATGGATCCACTGTGTTTATTTAAAAAGAATGAAAATGTCACGGCATATGAGACCTTTGAACATGTGTTTTTTGTTTGTTTGTTTTTTTTCTTTACAGAGAAACTGTCAGCGAGATGTCTGTCATGGTGTAATATATCAATGTTTTAAAACAGGGACTGACAGAATGAGTGAGACTATACCTCTAATCCTCTAACTGCTTTCTCTGGAGTTTAGGTCTAGGTTATCTGCAGTCCTCTCCCCGTCACAAAGTCGAAGTAGTTGTATTTATATTTATTTTAGGCAGAAAGTTCAAATGTTGTATATAATAGAAGCAAATTCGTCAACATGTGCAGAGAAAAGAAAATACATATCAATTCAGTTTTTTATTTGTGTTGTACCAGATCATAACAGAAGTTATCTCGTGACATTTTCAATATCATTTAGGATTAGTCTGTACTTTTTTAAATATAACTCCATATTGAGCCCCCCATCATCTTGAGCAAGCCCAGCTTCTCTCCACCTGTATAAAGTCGCCCTGTATAAAGTCGGTTTAATGTTTGCCAAGTCTTTTCAACATGGTAAATGCACATGGACTTGAATAGCACTTCAATGCGACTCAAATCTGCTTTTACACTACATGTAACATTCACCATTCACACCCTTTCACACACCACTGGCTATGCCAATCGGGAGAAATCCGGGGTTCAGTGACTTGCCCTACATGTAACATTCACCATTCACACCCTTTCACACACCACTGGCTATGCCAATCGGGAGAAATCCGGGGTTCAGTGACTTGCCCAAGGACACTTACACATGTGGCTGCAGGAGCTGGGGATTGAACCCTTTCTGATTGAGAGACAACTGTCATGGAGCCACATCCGCCCCAACATATGCTTTTCCAAACTGAGAAAATTTGGACCAACTCTTTAAAGGACAAAGGAAGTGTATTTAAGATATACTTTATTAATTCACAAAGGACAATTATAACGTTTTTATGAGACATGTAAAACACACATAGGTCAGAGATGACATATAGACATGCAGTTGTGGAGAAATGTTAAAGTGGCTCCCAACTCAAGTTCCTACTGAGCTACTGCAGCCCCAAATGAACAACATATCTCGTTACTGTAGTTAAGATAAACTCTTCTAGTTCAATTGAGTAAATATTATCAACATGTGCATAAAAGTGCTCTCACTGAGACAGAACTACTGTGGCCAAACTATATAAATAAGGAATGATTTGTAAAGGCATGACAAAAAGACCCTGGGTTGACCTCAGTTACACACTATTACTCATCATTACAACAGTAAAACGTTGCTTCTCTTCTTTATCTTGCTTCTGTTCGGTGTCCTTGCTTCACTGTGCGCAGCAACTTTGCTTATTTTTGAGTTATCACCTAAAACACATTAGTCTCTCACATTGTACTGTTTCCACTCTATAAAAAGAATTGGCAGAAGAAGTTGGCATAATGCTGCGATAGCACACTCATGAGGCTAAGAAGTCAGAATGGTATCTAAGTCTACCAGAAAAAGCACCTATACTTTTCACCTATCTGTTACCTTATAAACAGTTTATGGCTAATTGCAAACATTCTCCAAAACACCATTCTTGGTTAATTGTGATGTTCATGGTCCCATTTAGATGGAAATTTATGACATGGCTGCGTGTTCTTGAAAAGTCACCACAACAGCATCTTCATCAGGACATAGTCATCGGTATCAATCTAAATGTGATCATTTTGGGTTTGATTGGACCAAGATGGGGAGAGCAAAAATATGCCGACCAATGTGTGTATACCTCATCGTCTTTTTACTTCTTATATAAAATCTAGAGTGGCTACAAACAAGATCGAACCTGAATGCAAAAATACTGTAGCTTCATATCTGGTAATAATATGTCAGTTATGTTTTTAATCATGCAGCTAGCTTACCAGCAGACAAAAAAAAATGAATGCTGCTTTTGTATATCCTGTTTTTTTTCCGCCTTTGGAGGCAGGGCAGTTGTTGGGTTGTTGGTTGCATCACACACTGATTCATGCATGGGTCTTTGACAGCTGTTCGCCGCGTGCTGTATTCCTCGTCTCCTATCTCCTATTTCCCCTCAGGACATCTTCATCCACTGTCTTTGTACTGAACTCCCCAGTTTCAGCTCTGAAGCAGATTTTCTAAGTAGGATAAAGAATGTATCCAGGTTGGTATTTTTTCACTTGGTGCCTGAATGCAGTATGGTTAATTAGAGGTCGGCCCCGGGGTTCATTTTAATTGCAGTATGTGTGCTTTCATTTTGGTTTGTTGAACCAAAACTTTGAATCCTGGATGTGATACTTGACATAACCTCAGATAAAGCAGACCTTGGCTGGTGTTAATAAATTATAGACCCACAGTGTAGAGTGTGAGGCTTGGACCTCTGGGTGTTTGTCCAGAGTGAGTAAATTATGTACTTCATGAAAAACCACAATATGGAGGCCACATTTGTTGCCATCAGGCAAAGATTTTCCCTGAAAATATTCTGTAGTTTAAGATGAGCATATAGGTCTTGGAGACAGTGTCACAGCCCCCATCCTCTGGAACAACCTCCCTTCAGACATCCACAATGCCCCATCTTTGGACACATTCAAAAAGCTCCTCAAACACCATCTGTTCTCCACAGCCATACAAACTCCCATTGCTCTGCCTCCCCATCAGACTCACATCCTTTGTTACTTGTCTACATCTTATTTTTGTTCTTTGTTTGGTCCCTCTACTATGTAAAGCATCCGTGGGTCCCTTGAAAGGCTATATTATGTGTACTTTGAGTGTTAATGTACAAACATGTCTATGCCCGAATAAGGAGGTGTTAAATATCTTGTTCACTTATAGGGTTGACACTTTTAAACTGAGATGTGAATAAAGTTAAAATCAACCAATATCCATACCTATCCAAGCAAGAACTTGTTCAAAGTGCATTCTCCATCTCTTGATGCAGGATGGCCATCCAGGTGGACAAGTTTGACTTCGAGAGTTTGCCACAGCCGGACCAGGAGACTGCACGCTTCACAAACCCCAAACAGCTGGAGGAGGAGCGCCAACATGCCCAGGGCTGCCAGATCAATAGCAAGCTGGGCATCTGTTGGAGCATCATATCCTTTCAAATACTACATATATGGTAGAGTTATGCTGGAGGGATCTGCCTGGGCTAATCATTGTGAGCTCAACAGTTAATTGAGAAGGTAAGTATTTATGTTGGCATGACCAATTAGCTAAAATCATGTCCAATCAATTCATTTGGTCAAACTGATTAAGTCAGTATTGCATCTACTGAATGTTTTTGGTTGACATTACTAGGATCTATAATCCTGAACATCTGGATCCAACATCTGGACACCCTTTGGCCATTGGGAGCTTGTTCGCTTGCACTAACAGATGGGAACGCGAATGGCAGAGTACTTGCGGTTATGGCACTGTGAAGTGATGTCTTAGTGTGAGTGTTTGTGTGGGTGTTTAATTGTGCCATTTACTCTGAGCATTATCATACAACATATTCCCATAGGTCCCAGTTTGTGGGTAAGCGTTGAGGTCCATCCAAGGTAAATCTTTGACATCATCATTGTCAGCATGCTGCCCTCAGGCGGATGAGTCTTATCATCTATTCCCTTATGGACGTTGTCTTCAGCACTCAGCAGAATGCTTGTTAGGAATCAAAAAATGTATAGCTGTAGGTTTTTTTCATAGATGCTGTCTATGCTAGTATGTGTGTTCACTGGAGCTGTTAAAGGAGACACGATTGTGTGTCCAGGATAATGTTTGTTAAAACCACAGCTGCTATGAAACTTAATGTACTTTTTTTTTTATGTGTATCGTAACAACTAGAATTGAAGTGGAACTGATATACAAGACTCTTTTTGGGGTCTCTAAAACTGTCTTCCTGTGTGACATTTTCAAAAGTGTTCAACTAAGTCCACAACCTGAAGTTTCTGTTCATCCTTGTAGCTCTTACTAGTGCCCTCTGTTTTCACCATGTCGAGTTTGCAATCTTGCTAGCTGAGACCTGTTACCACCGTTTTCTTGCATTCATGGTGATGTTAAGAAATTGGTGTAAGTGTTTGTGATGTCTGTGGCTGCACTTGCAGTCATGAAGGCACATGTCGGTGACTTTCTCAGCACTTCATTCTGGTCTATTTGTCTAATGTTATAGCCAACTTTCTATTGTTTGCCTATACACAATTTACCTTCCAAATATTTTAAAAAGGTTATCAACAAAATGGTCCGATACACTAAATTGTAAAAATAAGTCTTCCTAATAGTCACACATTTATGCTGGTGTTTCAGTTTATTCACATGGATATATGCATGCAAGACTTAATAAACTACTGACAGAATGGGAAGTCTTTTTAGATTTGTTGATAAGGCTACTTAACTTTAAGCATATGCAACTTAATTTTCCATTTCAGAAAACAAAAATGCTTATTTCTACAAAATAATATTTAAGTATTTCATTAGGCTATTGTAATGTTCTCTTAACATATTAACACAATCAAGGCACACTACTTTACTAACTTTAAAGCGCGGACTATTTGATTGGCAAGAAAAGCCAAAACTAGACAGTTTCCTGCTGTCAAAAATCACTGTAAAACTCACCAGTTTAATAACATGTTGGTTTTGAAAAGAACTACTAAGGTGTTATGCATACAATGCCATGTATCAACACATTTCTTGTCATTTGATGGTTAAGGGATTCAAGAACTGCCTGTCAGATTTCTTGGTGAGCAGTTAATAATGAATCCAATCTCAGAGCTCCTAAAGTTTCCATTATATTTCTCCTCTTACGAAGGCGTAAACACTCCCATCATTATGTGTATTGTTTTATCTGCAAGCAACTTGGCAGCATGTAGGCAGGGAAGAAGGAAGAAAAAGACAATGCATGAAAATGTATTCCGGTACAGTAGCATGTCGCATAGTGCCTGTTTCATCATTTATCAACTTCAGAATACATGTGTAGGGATGAATGTGTGAGTTTACACAAGCTTTTTTTTTTTCTTTTTTTAACATGAACAGCTAATGGACATGCTCCTGCACATCCTGTGCCACTGTGACTTTTCTGGGTACAGGGAAAAAAAGGATGCATTTAGAAAATATCCAGGCCTACACATAAAGCTGAGGTTATTTGAAAGCGAGTGGCCACATTCTCTAATAGCCAAAAATGAAAAGAGTGACATTTCAGTCTTCATCTTTTATTAAAATTCTATAATTTTATTCACATCACGAAGCCCATTCTTCAAACACAAGTAGTTTGGATGAAATATCCATACACAACTCATGATGAGTCACATATTTGGAGCGGAAGTAGCTCAGTCCGCGGGGACTTGGGTTGGGAAACGGAGGGTAACCGGTTCATGTCCCGACGCAGACCATAATATGGAAGTTGGTCTGGTATCTGGAGAGGCACTTTGCGAGTACCGCAGAGGTGATCTTGAGCAAGGCACCGAAACCCCCTCCCTGTGTAGCAGCCCCGCTCTGACATCTCTCCACTAATGCATGTCCACAGGTTCTGTTTGTGTGTGTGTGTGTGTGAGAGAAGAGCATGTCTCTAAATAACAGAATGTAAAAAGCCACATCAAAAAATATTCATTCAGCATCAACAGGCTAGCTAACATTTCAGTCTGTGAGCATAAAGAGATGGCAACTTAGCAGCAGCTTAAGTAACGCTGAAGTGAATGAGTTTTCAAAAAAAAAAAAAAAAAAAAAGTAAAGCATTCTGGTGCTATACAGTGAGTAAATAGACAGGAAGTAAAGCTGTATTCATTTCATAATCAGTTACAAAGTGCCTTGTTCACAGTGACAAATATAAACATGATTGAAAGCAAAATAAATAAGTAGTGACCAAAATGAAAAAAAACACAGACAGGGATCAAAAGTTACAGAAAGCATTGTGTATACAGATTTAATCCTCCTGTAGCAATGTAAAGCTTCAGCAGCTCTGATGGATTTTAAAAGATGATTCCAGGAGGTAGGGGCTGAAGAGCAAAGGTGCAAACACCTTTTGTTTCGCAATTTGAGCATTGTATGGATAGAAGGTGGAGAATTTATGATGGGAAGAGGAATATAGAACGAGGAGGTCAGAAATATAACTGGGATTGAGGTCATGCAGTGCCTTATCGTTTTTTCTGACTTTGACTTTCTGAAGCCAATTTAGGGATGCAAGAACAGGGAAGATATGGGACCAATTGCTGGTTCTGGTTAATAGTCTTGCAGCAGCATTTTGAACTCACTGTAAAAGATTTAGAGACGTATGTCTGAGGCATATGTAGTAGGAAATATGATTAACTAGACAGGAAACCTTACAGGTAAAACTTACTGTATCTGTTCCAGCTTACAAAATATCTTAAAAAATGTAAGACGTGCAGCGTCGGTTTGTACCAAAATGTCAACAGTTTATCTTTGTCTATGTGGTATTTATGATTCTCAAACATAAACGCCAACTAGGAGGTGGCTATATGTTAACATTAGTGGTAGCTAACGGGACATCAAATATGTATTTTAGCTCATAATATGGCCTGTTGTGTATCCAGATTTTCAGTATCCATCGTGTGTGTACTTTCTCATCAATCAGGAAGCTTTGAAAACAGTTCAGATTTGCACAATAACAAGACTTAAACCTGGAACATAACAGTAAGCGTCCATCACAACATTTGGGCTTCACACCCTCAGCGGTGCAAAAAAGTAACCACATCCTCTTCCAGGGGGGGGCGTTGTCAAACACAGCTCATTTGCATTTAAAGCTACAGACGCAGAAACGGTCTGTTCTGAGCAGGGCTGAAATAGAGGGACATTAGGAAATACAAGATCCGAGTGGTCCTTTAGCAAGAAACTTCACAGATATGTTTTGGGGAGCTCTGAGAAATTATTTAAACTGGTTGAAAAGGAGGATAATACATTGTGACACATTGTTACATTGCATCCTTTGCCGTTAGTTTATGAATGTTTGAGTGAAAGGGTGAATGTGACATGTGGTTTAAGAGCTACACATGAACAATCCATTCCGCATTATAGCATTCGCTTGCATGCGTTTATAAAGAGATTGCAGTTTTCAAATGAAGGTGAAAAAGTTGTCAGAGTATAAGGGTCTCTTGTCGGAAGAGAGAAAGACAATTTATTCCTAAAGAAGAAACTTAATTTAAGTTCAGTCTGGAAACAAAGTCTTCAGACTGTGACTTGAATTAAAGGTTGTGATTCAGTGTAATACTTTTTTTCATTTCTACTCCTTGAGCTGTACAGATGTTGAATATATTGAAGAAATATATATATTTTTTAGGTATATAGTTGGGTTTTTTGTGCCTTTTATTTTTTAGATAGGACAGTGGATAGAGTTAGACATTGAGGAGAGCGAGAGAGAGAGTGGAAAATGCCATGCAGCAAAGGAGCCACAGGTCTGATTCAACCTGGGCCTACCAATTGGAGGACTACAGCCTCCGTACATGGGGCACGGGTACTAACCACAAGGCTACCGGCGCCATGTTGAGAAGATTTGAAGTGGTCTTTGCCAAGTTCAACCCTTTCATAACACTTATGTCAAAATAATAATATAGACTGATAATGTTTGAATGTTATTGTAACTCTTTCTAAAGCTTCCTAATTTCTAGCACAGAATATCCACATTACTTGTGCAGGACATTTTCAGTGGTAAAGATTGATTTCAGTGGACACCAGTGCATTGTAAGACCTATTTTCAAATTATAGCGACCAAATTCCAGGCATCATGCTAAGCTGTCATTTTAATGTATTTGTGTCTTTGTTTAGTTAAACCTTAGGTCCTGTAGTCTCATTGACTGCCTGCTGCTTTTTATGCTTTCCTTGTTATGTGACACACAGGTTGCTTATATAGTGCACAAGCCGGAACAGAATATGAAGCAATAATTTCTGAACAATAACCAAGAAATGTTTCATATCAAAGCAGGCGATTGCAGCGATTGGGGGCAGCTGTGTCTCAAATGAATGTATGCGCTCAGCTCTGCAACACTCAAAGGCGCAATCACAGATACATTTATCCAATCCAACATTTTATTTAGTAATAATGTGCATCAGATTTACACTATTCTGGTCACATAATACTTTTACGTACCAATTTTTTATGTGTCCATTCCACACCCCGGTAAATCAAGGCTGCTGTGATTTAGCTGCTCCCTCTGCGACCCATACCTGAACAAGCGCCAGGAAAATTGATGTATTGATCGATAGAAGGAGTCTTTTAATCATGTGACATTTTGACCCTTGGTTACTGTATAGCTGTACTTACACCCAACTCATAACACAGTTGTAATGTTTGTTCCAGTGTTTATAAAGTGAGACTATTTATTAGCTAGTTTGTCATCAAACCTGTAAGAAAGTGGGTATATCAGGGGTTTTTATGCAAGGCCGTCCTGTCCGTGTAAACATGATGTAAACACGGCCCCGACAACAGTAACAGCTGGAAGGACTCACGCTTCTCACTCATTGTAGACGGTCATGACACAGAGAGACATTTGCATAGAACATACTTGATTTCTGCTGTATTTATGTGTAAAATGTTGCATATTGTGCATTTAAAGGTGAAATGACATAGTACATTAAAAGTTAAAGTGGGGCTCTTCTATGTGCAGTGTGGTTCAACGTTGTAATAAACATGCCCACATCATGTAACGTGTTGTTTTAAAGCAGACATGTACGAGAGAGGATTGCATCTGAAAGTCAGACGCTCAGGCTATCGATGCATTTAGATGAAGTCCTGTTGTAGCTTCTAGATGCTTCTGTGACCAAACAGCTCAAATGTAGCCTTAAAATAGAAACTCTACTCGTCCATGCTACAGAACAAAGCCACAACACTGCCATTGTTTTCCGCAGTTCATACAAATGCGATGCAGGTGCATGTTGGGACACGTCATTCTTTATGAGTCAGACTGTGAGTTTGGAGACCGGCCAGCAGGCACAGTAGAAGCACTTCTCGGCACAGTGTGTTTTGTGTGCCTCTCTCTCTCTCTCTCTCTCTCTCTCTCTCTCTCTCTCTCTCTCTCTCTCTCTGCATGAGCACTGTACTCCCGCTCAAAGGTTAATAGACACAGGTTTAGTGCTCTAGGCCCTGCTTGTCTCACTCATTATTCCAAATGTCAGCTGTGTAAATGATCAGCGGTGTGATTATCATCACATATTATCTGGGTAATTGCTCTCTGACAACCACATTTGTTTTGATGCTGCATTCAAACATCGGTAGCATGACTGCGATCAGTTGAACGCTGGCTTCACTTTTGCCACCTTAACGTCTAAAGAATAATAATACATTTTATTTCAAGGTGCCTTTCGAAACACTCGAGACCTCCTTGCCAAGCAGAGATAAAAATGAACAACAAAGTAACAATACATTTTTTTTAAAATGGCATTAAAAACCCAGTATGTATGAAATCATTGTGAAGAAGTGTCATGAGACAGGGTGGATAATGGTCAGACTGAATATGCCAATTTAAAATTGTGTGTTTTGAGATGAGATTCAATAATGGAGAGAGAGTTGATATTACGGATATGTGGTGGGAGGGAGTTCCAGAGGTGGAGGGCAGAGTGGCTGAAGGCTCTGGACCTCATGGTGGACCCAGGTGGGTAGGTGCAGTGAGTTGAATGGAAGAAGACGACCCTGAGAGTGTTGCAGGGTGTGTTGATATGCAGGAGTTCAGAGAGGTACAGAGGAGCGAGGCTATGGATGGCCTTAAAGGTGAGGGGCAGAATCTTAAAGTCAATATGATATTTAACTAGGAGCTTATGTTTTTTTTTTATATACAAAATGTTTCTTTTTTCATTACCAGATCTTTTGTTTAACCGTCTGTGCGTTTGTCCTCTTTGTTCTTTTAATCGCAATGTACAATGTGATGCATGTTGATCATACTCCTTAAGTTTTTGATACGTTTTACTTAAGATTGTTTGAATTGGATTAATCCTTGAAATGCACCGAGACTCTCCATACAGTTTTTCTTAACTGAACCCACCCTTCTCTTCAACGCCGTGGAGAGGCCAGTGTGGAGGGAGTCCTCAACCAGCTGGTCCTGGAGCACCTGCAGCTCGCTCCTTTGCAGTGGGGTGAGTCCCTAGTGTGTGTGTGTGTGTGTGTAATTATCACGATTTGTGAACTACATGAAACAGTTTCAAAGTGCTGTTATTATGAAATGCTTCTTTGATACATGCTGGGATCATGACATCATGTTCTTGTGAGTTTTTATGTAAGTTAAACGAGAGAGAAAATGAATTAATGATGATCTAAAGTTTGGGCCATCCTTCTTACTGCCATTATAATTTGGTGCCATTCACAGTTATCTATGTAGTTCCTTTACCTGTCAGTTAAAGGGGCCCAAGTCATGTTTTTTTATTTGCATTCATAATGGACTACAATCTATTTTGGTGAAGTGGAGACAGCAGCTTGGGGAATGTGCGATCAGCTGGGACACACATAATTTGTAGGAGCGCTCTTTGGTCGCACCATCTGTGATCATCCTCTGAAATCACTTTTGATTTTCTGCGGATGTTTGTTTTCTGAGATACCGGGTTTCTCTTTTGGGCCCTGCCAGCATTTTGATTAGTCAGCTGGGGCTGTCCTGCATTTGCAAAGAGAAAGCAATCTGCAAAATGACACGGCAGCAGATTGAGCAGGGAATTGCAAGAATCTATTGAGACAGAAATAAGAGGGGATCAAGGCAAATAACTCACTGGATTCACTGTTCTTCAGATATTTTGGCATCTGACATGCAACTGCTCCTGCGAAAGTAAAGCTGTTGAGAAGACGTCGAGATACACAATCTTTGGGCTGATATTCCGCACTGCTTGTGTACTCTCAGTGCAATGGCAGTGGTTATTTCAGCGTGTCTTCATTTCTGCAAAAGCATTTCTTGCAAGCCCTGCTGATTATGAACGAGATAATTTGCCTCAGCCCATTAGGATGCCTTTATCAGGCTCGCGAAGACTATCACAGGCTCCATTACGAGTATAGTTCAAGCATTCCCCCGCCTCTGAAATCGTTAGTCCAATTGGATGCTTTTAATACCATTGTGTGTCGGTAGCCTCACACTCACACAGATGCTGGAGATGGAAATTACTTGCTTGTTTAGGTTTTGAGTGTACGTTCTTTGTCATTTCTTAGGCCAGCGCATGGTGGTCTGTTTTGATTTTTTCATTTTTTGTTAAGGTTTCTTTCTTTTCTTAGTCTTTCTCTGCCATTGATGTTTTTTGTCCAGCACCCAGTACTCAACTGGCAAATGTACCACTCACTAACGTTGCTGGAAAAGGCTGTTTAGGTCTTTTTTTAATTCCATTTTTTTTTTTTTACAGTGATTAGCTTTGTTACTAACTCAACGACATACTGACAGGCAGGAAAGAATAAAAACATGAATACTCTTCTTCTTGATAGACTGGTTTGCTTCTGTTGGTCACACAATGGATCCCACTGTTTGGTAGCCAGTTAGAATCTCCTCATACTTTGTGTAAGAGCACGACTACATTCACAAAAGCTGAAAGGAGTCATCCCTCTTTGCCTGAGCTCAAACAATCGTGCAGCCTGAGAAACTTGATGCCTTTTTCGTGATTGTCTTCTGCAGAGCTCTATAAATATTTGATCACAAAGGTTCCTGTAAATGGAGAACACAGACAGTGCCAGGATCTGTTCTATGGTTTTGTGTTTGTTTACAAGCTCATTATAATTATTGAATCGGGGAGCAAACGGAGGTCATTAGTAAACGATTCTACCTCTGGGCAGAAACTCCACCCCACAGTCACATTAGCAGGGCTGCAATAATGTACAATCATATAGGATGAAATTCACTACATAATTACAAATGAATAATGCAAGTACATTTGTAATTAGTGAAACATCCTTTTTGTTTCTGCTGAATTTCAATTTTGGTCTTCAGAGGAGGGCTGTAATGCATTGAGGGGGCTAGAATTTAAAGCGGATTACGATTATGTTAATGTTGTAAGCTTGTTCGAAAAACAAAAAATACATCAACAACAAAAGAACCACTGGACATATATTTCACCCTGAACACAAACACAGATCAGAGGACTGCTTCTTCTCTTCTCTGTCCTTTTTTTTTTTCTTTTTTTTTTTACACTGTCTGGAGAGCATATCTCTTCTAGTGATTTCACCATGAATATGTGGACAGCTTGAAGATAACTTTCTGCCTGTGTTTGTTTGATTTCACAGACGCTACAATTCTTCAAAAAGAAGAAAAGAGAAAGAAAAAAAAAGAAATTAAAATGAATATCCCCAGCTGTGGCTGCTATATGTTTCACCGTGTCCTTAACAGCATGCTAGCGTTACATGTCACGTCGCATGGCGCATGATCGCATGCTGGCTGTCCACACTACATCCGTTAAATATATGATTCTTTGCTCTGTGGATTTATATATGACTTCTAGAGGTTTGGAATTGAAGGTGGACAAACTGAAGTGTGCTGCTTTGTAATTAGGAGCTGTTGACTCAAATCACAACACAGAGGCTCGTCAATAACACTCGGTGAGCTGAAAAAAAAGTTTGTTTCCGGTGCTGTTGACACAAGTCAAAGCACAACTTTTCGATGTGGATACTATTAATGCACCGTTATCTCCCATTTGTACAACAAGCTAAAGCGCTCTGTTTAGTGAAGAAAAAAACAGTGTCAGTCCCTTGTAGATCGACCTCTTTCCTCTTTCCTCTTGCCTCTTTCCTCTTTCCTCGTTCCTCGTCCGTCTACACGAGCGACAGAGAAGAAAATAGAAACGGGGCGACGGGGTAAAAACTGTGTTGCTTGCGTGCAGTTCGCACACTCCAATAGAAAACACAAAATAGAATCAGGCTGATTTTGTCACTGACGCTCGCTCGCTTTTGCGTGCTGTTATTCTGTTTACAGTGAGATCAGGAAAAACCTTGAGCGATTGTGACTAAGTCTTGTGAAAGTTTGAAATGCGAGTACATATATTATTCAATATATCTGATTACTGCACCTTTCATTGTCACCTAATTTTTATTCAATTGTTTTTATTCATTTAAAAGGCTATTACAGTATCTGAACTTTATATTAGCAGGGTGGTTCTGGAAGTACATTCACTTAGAGGTACAGTAGAGTTGAAAATTTTCATCAAGCGAGAGTCCTGAAAAAGGAAGCCTAAACTCCACGACTTTCCTCTTGTTTTGAATGTGGTCTGATTAGAATCTGTGTTTCCAAATAAACTTTATCTTTTTTTATTGCTTTTTAAACCCACTGCCATGACAGGTGGTATCATAGGTTTATCTGCAGCCTGGCATCATGTAAATACCTCCATTGATTACAGCTCCTCAGTTGTCAATTTGATTAAAGCCAAAGGGTTGCACCTTGTGATTGCAGTCCATGTGTCTACTTAATGGAGTGTTGCTAAATAAACAGTCCGCTGGCCAATGACACAGAGCTCTCAGGAGTTGACACCATCATTGCAGGTTATGATGCTGTGCTAAAGGAGAGGTCTGAGTCTGCCAGGAAGTGCCCTGACATTTGTAAAATGAGATTAAACATGATAACATTCTTAAATGAGCACCTCGGGGGGGAATTGAGTTCAAATGGAAATGTTACATTTTACTGTAAGTACAGTTGACTGTGAGTAGAAAAGACAAATAAGGATTTTGGAACATCAAGAATTAAGTACACACCAGCAGTAGAATTAATTAAAACAAGTTTAGAACATCTTGAAATCTATTAATTTAGTAAAAGTCAGGGATATTTTGTAAAATGTTCAGCCTCACTGACAAATTGGAGAATGAATTAGAATTAAGGGGGGTTTAGTGAGAGCCAATAACAAGCAGTTGTGCTGAACTGTATTAAGTTAAAGCGGTATTTAAGCAACTGTGGACAGGCTTGGATTTCCAGCATTGTCTGCCTGTTGAGTGCTGTAACCAAGCAGTGAGATGGAAAACAGCCAGCCTGAATGCGGACTTTGCACCCATCCCCCCCCCCCCCCCCCCCCTTTCCCCCCTCACCATCAGCCTGCCACCAGGAGCCCATCTCAATGGAATACAAATTCACCCATGAATGGAAAGACAAATGTTTAGCCTTAGAGAGAGATGGAAAGAGAAGGGTGGGGGCCTTGCTGTAAAAGGCAGAGAGATAATTTAATAAGACAGCGCTTCTGAACTGGCACACCGTCACAATTTTTTTTTTTTTTTTTTTTTTACCCCCTCGTGGTGAACGCACACACCAATGAACATTTGGAGCAGTCACAGGCACTGGCTTTACTGCGCAGGGGACGTCTCATGGAATAATATGCCTTTAAGCTTTTGTCAGGTGCCCGATTGCCCTGAGTGCTGCAGGTTTGACAAATGGTGCTGCCAAACAGCTCCGACCCGCCAAACGCTGAAGTCCTGTTTTGGTGATGATGATTAGAGCTGCTTCCCTGGGAGAGATGGAGGATGGGGATGAATACATGCATGGCACATATGAAGGAGAGGCGTTTTGGCTGCACCTAAACTGGTGATACGCCACATCATACGCTTGCTTCTGCAGTTATCTGCACAGCAGTGATAGGACCTGTGGGAGAAAGAAGTAAGCCTTCCTTGATCCCAACTTACTGTAAGGTGACATCAGCTCAGTTTGAGGAGCATACTCGTCTATCCTTTGGTGTTAATTTTGACTTAAGAAGCGACTCACTTAGGAAAGTGAAGTCAACTAAATTGTGTCTTATGGCAAGAGATGCTAAGTTAGTTTCTTAGTGTGTCTACAATATGAAATGCAACAATTGCGTCAGAAGTCAGTGGCCTGTGGGCTGAATGATTGTAGCCCAAATCATCAGAAAATCAAGGGGGCATGCCATGACACCAGTCACTCAGTTACAGGAAGTGAAAGGAAGAGGATGCTATATATTTTGGGCTTTTAAAAAAAGACTTGCCTTGTTTTTCTTGGTGCAAATATGTTAGTTTTCTAACCTAGATTCCACCAAAAATGTAAAACAATCTGTTGTAGGTTATTTGAAGAAAACATTTCTCATCTGTATTAAATAAGAAACGGCGGGCTTAGCCCTAATAGCCCGTTTGTACCCGCTGAAACTGGTTAGGAGGTGGCAGAAGTTTTATATTAGCTGGTTTTGGAACTACAAAACATGA